ATATACTACATATAAAATTCAACAGCTTTACTTTACTCTTTCCGTCTATCCGTCACAGTTACTCTCAGATAATTATATCGAACTTTGAATTGAACCCTCGATGCCTTTGTTCGGACAAGGCAGTTCTTTTTAATCGAGTTTCGGCTCCGACTTAATTACTTTAATTAAGACTTAGAGTCGCTTTTTACTTTGTCGTTAGTATATTTGTGTACTGAAATGTTTCCTTTTTTTCCTTTTTTTGAAGTATTAATATTGCTTTTTTATTTCATTGCAGAAAGAGGGGTTCTGCTTTGGATCCTTTGTTAGCTTTTCATATGTTTTTGGATGTAATGGTTTTGAATTATAAATTTAATTATTCTCTGTTTATGCAATCAATGAGATATAAATATAAAATATATATAGGACTGCTCAAATGCTATGTTCTATTTACTACTTATGAATTAAATATAAGATTTTTTGACTTTCATTACTATTACTACCAAGTGTACAATTCTTCAATTACACTTCTCATGCGAAATATATTGCCACAAATTATTATTCTTTGTATCCCAATTTCATCATGACTGCCTCATTGGTCGAGTGGTCGCAAGTGCGATTGCCGGGCAAAGGGTCTCGGGTTCGATTCCCGGGTAGGGCAAAGTCTGACTGGGTTTAAAAAAAAATTCAGTTGTAGTACGGAGTCTGGAATTGTGCCCGGTATATGGCAATAGGCTCACCCCCTATTAAATGGGACTCATAACATAAATAGTGAAAAGTGGGTGTTGCATTGCACGGTAGCAATGTGCACCTCTGCCTACCCCTTTGGGGATAAAAAGGCGTGGTGTTATGTTATGTTATTTCATCATCATATATTGATCACTGAATTGTCTGTTAACAATACAGTACTATCTAAGTGTTATTTTCATATAACTTGAATCCCGTCTCCAGTGAACTGCTGCAAAGTGATAGCATCGTAAGCCCCCCTTTCTACCACTTTGGGTAAGAGGCGCTCTGTTATTTTATGTTAAACTGTACTTAAAGTACATACCCACATAAATCTTTATACGTTTTGTCTCATTTTCAGTACATTACCCTTACGTTGTGGGCGCGTAAGTGATCACTTATGTACTATATACGAATACACATCGAGTTATATATAACCAGATTATCTTGGTCTCGGTTTGTATAATTTTTCCGAACATTCGACGGTCAGATTATACTGGTTTTGGATAGCTGTATATATACATGTATATTATATCTACTTAGGTTGTCACCCCTTGTAAATGTATGTGTGACCATCTGTTGTAGTTCGCAACGTTTTGCTACGATAATATTTATGTTTATATTACTTAATACATTATTTTCTTGTATCTTTACCCTTTATTATTTTATTAGATACATTCATGAGACGCAAGGGTTTTCAGGATCGATACTTATCACTACATAGTATAAAACAAGGTCGCTATCCGAGCGTCTGTCTGTCCCTATGTATGCTTAGATCTTTAAAACTACGCAACGGATTTTGATGCGAATTTTTGCTTATGCATGAAGACATTGATGAATGTAGATAAAGCGGAAAAGGTATGAATTGTGTCATTTGGCGTTCCAATGACTATATTTACCACAGTGAGAGACAGGTGCAAACGATAACAGCTATGCATGTATGTCAAACTAGCGTCTGCTAGCGGTTTCTCCCGAGTTCCTGTGCGATTAAACGTGACCTATATGATATTCCCAACCATAATCTACTTCTGTTCCAAATTTTATCTCCATCCTTTCAGCCGTTTTGACGTGGAACGGTAACACACAGAGACATCCTCACAAACTGTTGCGTTTATAATATCAGTAGCATTATTAGGTACTATGTAGTTGTATGTCTTTTAGTTGATTAAAACAATATGCACACACGTGTCGCGGAGAACCTAACGGGTTACCGGGGCTCCGGCTCGACGTGCAGGAGAAGGAACGCGGTGGTTTTTAGTCAGTAAGAGTCTGACACTCCCTTCCGCCTCACCCAGGCGGACAGACAACAGACGGCAGACAACCGATGATTTCCCCCATTAAAAAAAATGCACACACGTATTCACTTCAATATTTTCAATACAATCTTCGAATGCATCAGAGATCAGGCCGCGCATTCCTTTAAAACCGAGAAAATTATTGTGAGTCGAGAAAGCAATCCACTTAGGGGTGTGCTCTCCGGATATTGCGTTGGTATCGGCTGGTGACAGCCCTAACCAATTCCTTAAGCCAGCCACCTTGGGCACAAAATATCGTTTGTAACTTATAGTGCCTGCTGGTTGTAGATTTTGCTTCAAAAGTTGTTGGTTCTACTTTTATGTAAGCTGCTGGTTGCCAACCCGCTGCGCTAACCATATTTAAAAAGTCATTAGTTAGGCATGTATTGGAGAGGGGTTCCAGTAGGTGAACTATTTCCAATTTATTGAAAGTTTTGAACCTAAAAATTGTATTTAGAATCCCTGAATATCGATTCCATGGTTTATTTTTTCCATCCAGTACGGCTACGTAGCACGAAGCAATTTTTAAAAAGTTAAAATAAAAATATACACACAAAAATTACAACGTTGGAACGCGAACATTTGGGAAATTCGCAGCTAAACCCACAAAGACTTTGATGCGCGCATAAATTCAGAGCTGTATTCGAAGTTGCCATTCCCGTTCCCAATATTCGGCCATTCGATGGCAGCGATTAAATTTTCAATTAAAATGCACTGCGCAGCCAAAACATGCTTTAGTCGTGTTTATCGTCCGACCAAAATGTTTCAGTCGGCGACTTAATGCATTATTTTGACGTTGGTTTTGGTCACAGGTACACAGTTGTGGTATACCTCATCGTAAATGCGTGTCATAGAAATATAAACTTTATTGTTACAGACTATTAGTTATTTCGCTATTTACGATGCTTCAGTATGGTTTCAAACATTTTTTTAACTACATCAAGTATTAATAAGTAAATAGCGTGGTATGAATAATATAAAAGTACTAACAATTGACTTTTGACCATGAAATACATACAAATTACAATTTGAGAGTCTTTTAAAAATACAGGAAACGAATGTTAACGATTTTCTCATGAATGACAACAATTTTATTGTACAAACAACTTAGCATTTTGTGGTAATTTTCATAGTTTATCGACTTAATGGACTATGTAATAACACCACCGGTACATATTTTGACAGAGTTTATAATAATTTTAAACTTTAACCTCTTTGTAACAAAACTATTACGGGGCGCTAAGATCCTCAATCATCATCGCCGCTATAAGAGCAGAAGGATCACCTGATGGTAAGCAATTGGCGCCGCCCATGATCATCTGAAACACCAGAGGCCTTACAAGTGCGTTACCGACCTTTGGGGATTTAGGAATTTGAGGATTGATTGATTCGGGAATTGGGAAGACTGGGGAGGAGGGTAATTGGGCCTTCGGTTTCCTCACTCACACGACGAAATACAACGCAAGCGTTGTTTCACGTAGGTTTTTTGGGAGGTCGTGGTATTCAGCCCATTCTGGCCGAAGCATGGCTCTCCCACACTTAAACTCCTTGGTTCCCGTGGCTTGAAGATAGAGACTGTAACTCGAATGAATGTTCTAAATTGAATAAATATTATTTTATTGTCTATAAATATTATTTTTTTATAGAGTTTCTTGCTCGTTCTTCTCCATTCGAATCTACGTTTTGGAATGAGCATCTAGCTTCACCTAATTTCACTGACGGACAGACTGACAGACTATTATTTATTTTGTATCTATTTGTTGACGTTTCAAAAGTACCAAACTATGGTTTAATTGAAATAAATGCTTTGACTTTGTCTATTTTAGTTTTGGGGCAAGCTTTGTGTAAAATAAGGAATTGACGCAGTCACTGGGAATATCAGGGAACATTCCCTAGCAGAAAACTAGGGCAGGGTATGAAGCTGTGAAGCGATTGCCAACAACCAGTCGAGTAACCCAGACAATGCGTTACAACTGTACAGTCAAGTTGTATTGTAAATGTTTTTTACACGAATTTTTCCTAAATCAATAATAATTATAGTAATTGTGAAACTATTTCTATAATGTTTTGTACTTATTCATTATCATATTTTGGTGAATTGTCGTGGTGGCCCGGAGGTTTAAGACCACTCATGCATGAGGGTGCGGGTTCAAAACCTACCAACGGCAAGTACCAATGTGACATTTTCCGAGTTATATGTACTTTCTAAGATTATTTAGACACCACTGACAAACGGTGAAGGAAAAACATCGTGAGGAAACCTGGACTTATAATTTCTAATTATAAGTTTGAAATCGCCAACCCGCATTGAGCAAGCGTGGTGATTAACGCTCTAACCTTCTCCGTGTGAGAAGAGGCTTTGCTCAGCAGTGGGCATTTATAGGCTGTTGATGATGATTACCATATTTTGTACCTAACTTTGTATTTGATACTTATTTATATTCGTTTTATTGCGATTTAATGTATATATATAAAAATTACACATTCTAATTACCAAATATAATACAATTATTGTGATTTATATTTTTACAAGATTACGTTCTATTGTTATCAAATTTTTGGATTTTTTTCTCATGCTCATGGTCCTTGAAGACCTGTGTAGACACGCATAATTATGTTATTAGTACAGTTTTATGCCTATAAAACACTTTTGTAGCACAGATAACATTATGTGTTTGTTTATTTGTTCTACTAAATTGTTGAAATATGTATAATTGTTCCTTATAAAAGTAGCACTGATTTCTGTAAATATCTGAGCTCGTACCTTAATTTTGATAACTTTATGTTATGAAATTATATACAAATCCATTATTGTTAGTACAACATGAATATGTCATGCTGAAGACCCAGGTAAAAATTAAGTTTTGTGTTTGTCGTACACATTATAGTAACTATTTTAGTACACAAAGTATACCAACAGATGGCGCTACATGTAGCATACAAACGGAAAAAATATTTTCAACTGGTTCTGGACAAAACTTTGTTAAAAGAAAGTCATTAGAATTAACATATATATCCGTGTAATATATAAGAATGCTATATTTTTCGACCCTAAAGGGAACACCACCAATCCTATGGAAAGTCTAGATAAAATCACAATACATATTTTTCATACAATTTATCCCAGAATTGTGTTTCTTCAGCATCAGGCGCGGTGCCCGCTTTTAGCTCGTTTCCAATGTCCAGATATTCTTGTTTTTCCAGGGTGTACGGTGCCCACTTAACTCCCAGAGAATCGTCAGGCGTTGGGTTTCTGAAACAACACCAGTCATGACATATTGGCAAAGAGATATTTGTGTCGTAACGCATAGCAGATTCACTGTGATTCATCAATTTACAATAAGATAAAAACTGCCTTGTCACGTCTCTAGTGGACTTTATAGCGAGATAATGATCGTCATTTACACCTGATTTTTACTATAAGAACAGGTGCATAATATTAAATCTGCTGAGTAATTGTTCTTATAGCCAGTTATTATCACACAATTACACTACTATCACTTAATGGTGTAAAGTGATTCACATAACATAACATAATATCACGTCTTTTATCCCCGAAGGAATAGGCAGAGGTGCACATTATGCCACTGTACAATGTAACACCCACTTTTCACTATTTATGTTATAAGTCCCATGTAATAGGGGATGAGCCTATTGCCATATACCTGGCAGAATTCCAGACTCCGTGCTACTACTGAGATTTTTTTTAAAACCCAGTAATAGTTTGCCCGACCCGGGAATCGAACCCGAGACCCTTTGCCCGGCAGTCGCACTTGCGACCACTCGGCCAACGAGCCAGTGATTCACTTTTTTAATAACAAGAACAACATGAACAATTACATACCTCATTTGAAAGAAATAAGTAAAGAAAGAGATAAGTTACATGTTTTGCTTGAACAGTGAAAAAAATATTAAAGACTGACTTTTCAACTTACCCGTATTTAGCAAAATTGGTCCAAAGCGTTGCCACTCTTTCTATCAGCTTGAACTCCTCGGAAGCAGTGTCCACTTTTAATTTCATCAGTTTAGGGTTAAAAAGATAGGCTATATCATCAGCATGAGACGTAACTTGTCTGTCTCCAAGCATCTCAGTGAGTCCTCTCAAAACAGCTATCATATTTCTCTTAGACTTACAAGAAAACTTATACACATACAGCTTGTGTTTCTTCGCTTTAGCACAATGTCTCACCCACTGCATTGTTGGGTATCCGAACATCTGCATTGAAACGAAATTCATCCATTTATCCCAATCATTTGGGATATTGACCTGGTCTTTGAAATAAAACTTTCTGAATTCCCTTCCCATCTTTAGCTGCTGATTCAATGGGACGGTGAATGCCAGTTGTTTACTAATGAAGGATTCTGGGAATGCTCTTGCTGATTCTAATAACTTTTTAGTAACCTCTAGGTCTCCGAAAATAATGAGACCTTCCTCTGTAGTAGTCCCCGTCATGATTTCTACTCCTTCGTGAACACCGTTTGACACTGCATCAAGCATGTCTCCGTAAAAGAATCTCTCGTTATCTCCAAATTTCTTTTCATTTACAACAGTAAAGTTGATTTCTAACCCACCTCTGAAGGCTTCGGAGAATGTTGGTGCTACAGGAATACACACTATTGACTCCTTTGGTTGATTTTTGAAAAATTCATACAATTCTTTATCGTCCTCAGAATAAAATCCAAGGCTTCTAGCCAATGCTAAAGCTCTTTCGCGAGGCTCAACAGCTTGGGCCCAGGGCGAAGTAGACGCCCCACTCTGAGCAATGGCCCTTTTAAACAAACCTTTAGACATCGGAGATATTAAATGGTAACTGACGCTGCCTCCACCGGCACTTTCGCCAAATATGGTTATGTTGTTGGGGTCACCACCGAAGCTAGCAATATTTTTGTTCACCCATCTAAGAGCTTGTACCTGATCTTTCATGCCTGCGTTGCCAGGAATATCCTCTGTGTCCAAACAAAGAAAACCGAGCACATCTACTCTGTAGTTGATGGTGACAAGGATGACACCGTGCCTGATAAGGAACTCTGGACCATAAAGGTCATCGTTACCACTACCACAGAAGAAGCCTCCTCCATGTATCCAGAACATTACTGGTAAAGCCTTGTCAGGTTTGATCTCAGGTGTGTACACGTTTAGGTACAAACAATCTTCTTCACCAACTATTCCAGTGTTCATGAAAAGGTCATTTTGGTAGCATTTCGGGCCAAATTCCTTAGCAGAACGAACTCCGCCCCAAGCCTTTGGAGGTTTCGGTGCCTGTAAGTAATAAACTATGTCAATTTCGGTTTATTTTTTTTATTGATTCGGGACTTGATTGGATCGATGGTCCTGACTAACTTAATACAAAATAAAAATGTTCACTTTTTCAAAAATAAATGTTTGTTAATTGTCCAAACAATGATATAGGCTACTCAACTCAAAAAATTACATGAGTTACCGTGTAATTTTTAGAGTTGAATAGGTGTCGGTGTTAAGAATAATTTTGCAGAGCTCTTGTTTAAATTAAAAAGATAATTACTAAAAAATTACGACAGGATCAAAGATGGGACGATGTGCTCCATCGTAGACCGCATCATCGCTTACCACCAGGCGAGATAGTGGTCATTCAATTCACAATACATAAATATATAATAAATATATATTGCAAGTAAGATGAACTAATTGATTATTTATTGATAAGGTTCCTACATTATGTATCTGTAGATTATTTATAACAATTCTAACAATGAAGCAAAATTTTGTAATAACTTTTTTAATACTTATCATTATAGACTGCCTGTGGTTTAATGAGTTTAATGAGTAATTTTAGTACTGTGTTAGCATGTTTCTACTTTCTGTTACTAATCGTGGAAACCAGTAATTGGCTTCTTATTGCATACCACATTCTTTTTAATCAAATTGTATAGCTGTTGGTTTTCCAAATGTATAAATAAATAAATAAAATAAATAAATAAATACCAATCCCGATAGCTGCAAAAATATTTGTCTTAAAACCTTTTTATTTTTGGATTTAGAAACAAGTTTTGTAATTAATTTGGTATTGACCTTGAACCGCAGATCCCCGACTGGTGGCTCCGCGTACGGTATTCCCTTGAAGCTATAGAAGGAGCCTCCGTAATGGTTGTCCACTCGCTCTCCCTCCAGCAGACCCTCGTTCACTCTCACTTGCACCATACTTAGGCCGGCACTGTGCTCTCAGGACACCGTCTGCAACGGTCAGAGCCCCAAACAAGACTAAGACTGCCACGAATTCGGTACAGAATAAGTAAATCATTCATTCGATGCTATCTGCTGCCTTTTGATAACAGAACTTACTGCTATAGTTATAAGATAAAAAATTAGTTGTATTTGATTGTGAGTGACGAGTGTCGGCAATACTCGTGTTTGCCTGTTTTTTATTATTTGGATGTGTGGTTATTGACGTGACTACGTATTAGCGATACATTATTGTGACTTGTTTTAAAATGTATTTTGTGTTAATTTTGTTACAGTTCATTTTGCAATGTGGTTCAGGTTACGGAATCAACTATTGTAATTATGTTTTGTTTCCTCTCCGTTTGCGTAAATTAAATTATTGTATCGAGTTCCTTATTTTAAGCATTACATACAAATCTTTTTT